GTTAAATTCTTAAAAGAGGTGGAGGAGGACCTTCTGGAGAAGGTTTCCAAAAGAAAGAACAAGAAGGGAAAAGTAAAAAAGACACAAGAGGTGTTGAAGGCTTGGAACGAAAATTTGCAAATGAATTTTTATCAGATAGGGATTTTGAATAAACAGAAGGTGATTACTGTTGGGATATGATTTACATGTGAATAAAAAATCCCACATTATTAAAAACTTTAAATGAGATATCCTATATATGCATGAAGGACCTAAGAACCTAATAGCTTAATTTTTTGGGCTCAAGTGGTATCTAACATGTATGTATAAGCTCTCTGGTGTGCTCTCATGGGCTCTAAGTGTGGTTTATCTCTCTAACAAGTGGTATCAGAGCCAAGGTTTTGGTAGGTTCGAGTCCATAGAGGGAGATTATTGACAGATTAGAAGTTGACCGTGTCCATCAACTCCATATACTTGAACACTAGTATTAAAAAGTTTAACTTGGATGCAGCGAGTCTATAATAATATGCAAAAGTGGAACACCCAAGTGGGCAATGTGTTGAGTCAATCTGGAATGCAAGCTTGAGGAAGTATTGAGACAACCTAGGTGGCAAGGTTGAGTACTGTGACCTAGCCCAAAAGCATACTAGAGATGTAAGGTTGCCTGGCTCAAATGAGTTGTTGATAGAACTTACTCACACGAGGGAGCCAATGTGGAAATTGATCAGAATTCACAAGTGAATGGGGAGATTGTTGGGATATGGTTCACAAATGAGTAAAAAATCTCACATTATTAGAAAATCTGAATGAGATGTCCTATATATGTATGAAAGACTGAAGAACCTAATAGCTTAAGCTCTTAGGCTTAAGTGATGTCCAACATGTATGTATAAGCTCTCTGATGTGCTTTTATGGGCTCCAAGTGTGGTTTATCTCCCCAACAAGTGGTATCAAAGCCAAGATTATGATAGGTTCGAGTCCCAGTGGTGTTGTTAAGGGGGAGATTGTTGGTATATCGAAGGTTGGTCGTGTCAATCAACTCCATGTGCTTGAACGCCGATATTAAAAGGTTCGACTTGGATGCAATGAGATAATATACAAAAATGGCTAAAATGGAACACCCAAGTAGGTGATGTGTTGAGTCAATCTAGAATGCAAAGGTTGGTCATGTCCATCAACTCCATGTGCTTGAACGCCGATATTAAAAGGTTCAACTTGGATGCAATGAGATAATATGCAAAAATGGCTAAAATGAAACACCCAAGTAGGTGATGTGTTGAGTCAATCTAGAAAGCAAGCTTGAGGGAGCACTAAGACAACCTAGGTGGCAAGGTTGAGTGCTGTGAACTGGCCCAAAAATGCACTAAAAATGTATTGTTGCCTGGCTCAAAAGAGGTATTGATAAAACTTACTCGCACGGGGAGCCAATGTGGGAATTGATCAGAACTAGTTTTTGTTTTCGAAATAGTCTAGCCTTTTTTTTTTAGCTTAGCTTAGTCCAATGCAATGTATGTGCAACTCAAGATAATCTATTTACTTAGGGACCATAAATATACAAATACGTTACCTGGCTCAAAAGAGGTGTTGATAGGACTTACTTGCACAGAGAGCCAACATGGGAATTGATTAGAACTCACAAGTGAATAGGAGAGATTGTTGGGATATGATTCACATGTGAGTAAAGAATCCCACATCATTAAAAAAATCTGAATGAGATATCTTATATATGCATGAAGGACCTAAGAACCTAATAGCTTAAGCTTTTAGACTCAAGTGATGTCCAACATGTATGTATAGGCTCTTTAGTGTGCTCCCATGGGCTCTAAGTGTGGTTTATCTTCCCAACAAGTGGTATCAAAGCTGAGGTTACGACGGGTTTGAATCCCAGTGGTATTGCTAGGGGGAGATTATTGACAGATCGAAGGTTGACTGCATCCATTAACTTCATGTGCTTAAACACCGATATTAAAAGGTTCAACTTGGATACAGTGAGTCTATGATAATATGCAAAAGTGGAACACCCAAGTGGGCGATATGTTGAGTCAACTTGGAGTGCAAGCTTGAGAGATCACTAAGACAACCTAGGTGGCAAGGTTGAGTGCTGTGGCCTGGCTCAAAAGCGCATTAGAGATGTAAGGTTGCCTAGGTGGCAAGGTTGAATGCTGTGGCCTGGCCCAAAAGCACGCTAAAGATGTAAGGTGTCTAGGTGGCAAGGTTAAATACTGTGGCCTGGCCCAAAAGCACACTAGAGATGTAAGGTTGCCTAGTTCAAAGGAGGTATTGATAAGACTTACTCGCATAGGAGAGCCAAGATGAGAATTGATCAAAACTTACAAGTGAACGGGGGAAATTGTTGGGATATAGTTCACATGTGAGTAAAAGGTTAAATGTTGTGGCCTGGCCCAAAAGCACACTAGAGATGTAAGTTACCTAGTTCAAAGGAGGTGTTGATAGGACTTACTTGCATGGAAGAACCAAGATGAGAATTGATCAGAACTTACAAGTGAACGGGGAGATTGTTGGGATATGGTTCACATGTGAGTAAAGAATCTCACATCATTAGAAAATTTGAATGAGATGTCTTATATATGCATAAAGGACCCAAGAACCTAATAGCTTAAGCTTTTGGGCTCAAATGGTGTTCAACATGTATGTATAGGCTCTCTAGTGTGCTCTCATAGGCTCCAAATATGATTTATCTTCCCAACAAGTGGTATCAGAGCCAAGGTAACGGCAAGTTCAAGTCTCAGTGATGTTGCTAGGGGAGAGATTATTGGCAGATAAAAGGTTGACCGCATCCATCAACTCTATGTGCTTGAACGTCGGTATTAAAAGGTTCAACTTGGATGCAGCGAGTCTATGATAATATGCAAAAGCGAAACACCCAAATGGACGATGTGTTGAGTCAACTTAGAGTGCAAACTTAAGGGAGCACTGAGACAACTTAGATGGCAAGGTTGAATGCTATGACCTGATCCAAAAGCGCACTAGAGATGTAAGGTTGCCTGGCTCAAATGAGATGTTGATAGGATTTACTCGCACGGAGAGTCAAGATGCGAATTGATTAAAACTCACAAGTGAACAGGAGAGATTATTAGGATATGGTTCACATGGGAATAAAGAATCTTACATTATTAGAAAATCTAAATGAGATATCCTATATATTCATGAATGACATATATGAGTAAAGAATCTTACATCATTAGAAAATCTGAATGAGATATCCTATATATGTATGAAGGACCAAAAAACCTAATAGCTTAAGCTTTTGGGTTCAAGTAGTGTCCAACATGTATGTATAGGCTCTCTAGTGTGCTCCCATATGCTCCAAACGTATGCATGAAGGACATCATTAGAAAATCTGAATGACATGCCCTTTATATGCATGAAGGACCCAAAAACCTAATAACTTAAGCTTTTGGGCTCAAGTAATATCCAATTTGTATGTATAGGCTCTCTAGTGTGCTCTCATAGGCTCCAAATATATGTATGAAGGACCCAAGAACCTAATAACTTAAGCTTTTGGGCTCAAGTAATGTTCAACATGTATATATAGCCTCTCTAATGTGCTCCCATAGGTTCCAAGTGTAGTTTATCTCCCCAACAATTACAAGGGAAGCAAAGGAAGCATGGGAGTTGGGGCTTCTAGGCAAGTTATAAAGACGAGGTTGTGGTGGAACGACTCAAAGAACTTTGTTCAACAAAGTGAAAGACAAAGTAAGTACGATTAAGAAGTAAGTGTGTTATTGTTACACTCATTGTTTGGGTCTGGATATAGAATTAGTAGTATGAGAATTATCTGTTGGAATATAAGGGGAATAGGTAGTGGAACAAAAATGGATGTCTCGAAGAAACTGGTAGTAATACATAAAATAGATATGGTAATTATTCAAGAAACAATGAAGGAGAGCTTAGTGGGAGCCCATATCGTGGGTCTTTGTGTAACCTAAATTTTGATTGGGGATTTGTGCCTTAGATAGGTAAATCTGGGGGTCTGCTAATGGTGTGGGATAAAGGGAACTTTATGGCAAAGCAAATAAGGTTAAACAGTAGATTTATGGCAGTTAAAGGAAAATGGACTGACAGGGGTTTTGAGTGTGTAATTTGTAATGTCTATGCTCCTTGCGCTCGGGCAGAGAAATTAGTTCTGTGGAAAGAGATTCTGGAGCACAAAGACGAACTTGGAGGATCTTGGTGTGTGGCAAGAGATTTCAACACGATCAGATCGGGTTTAGAAAGGAATGAATGTGTTCTTGTGGGAGTGGAAATCCAAGAATTCAATGACTTCATTAAAAGAGGTGAATTGATAGACTTGCCGCTAAACGGTAAGAAATTCACATGGTATGGGAGCGGCAACAAAAGAAGCAGGTTAGACCCTTTTTTGGTCATGTCCGAATGGGTGGTAACTTTCAAGGATATCTTCTAGAGAGGTTTGAGGAGATCTGTATGGGACCATTGTCCAATCTTACTTGCATCAGATGCTGTAGAGTGGGGACCAAGACCATTTCGAGTAATGGATTATTGGTTGAATAATTGCAAGTTTTTTAAGAAAGTGGAAGATGAATGGAAACATTTTGGGGTTTCGGGGAAATTAGGGCATCACTTACGAATGAAATTAACATAGATGAAAGCCTTTATGGAGAAATGGAACAACGAAGTGTTTGGGAACATAGAGGAAAAAATAGTGAGGCTTGAGGAGAAAGTTGAACTATTGGAAAACATCATAAACCTAAAGGACCTGTATCCTTCAAAAATTGAAGATCGTAAGAGAGCTTTAGAAGAATTATGAGTGGCACGCAAAAATAGAGAATCTATGTGGCAACAAAAGTTAAGAATTATGTGGTTAAAACAAAGAGATAAAAATACAAGGTTTTTTCATTGTTCTGCTAAGCTGAGGACCTGCAAAAACACCTTGGCTGGGTTGTATGACAATTGGATATGGGTTTTGGATAAAGAAAGTGAAGTCTCTGGTGTTGGAGATTTTTAAAAAGCATTTCACCAAGGACGAATAGGTTCATAAAATGGGGGTCGGTCTGCCATTTGGTAAATTGTCTCAAGAAGATGTGGAGCTACTGGAGGCTCCCTTTGAAATGGATGAATTGAAAGAAGTAATATGGGAAGGTCAAAGCTCGAAGGCTCCGGGACCAGTTGGTTACAACTTTAATTTTTATAGGAAGGCTAGGAATTTTATAAGGGAGGATCTGATGCAATTTCTGGCAAATTTCCACAGCAATGTGAAACTGGAAAAAGGGCAGAATTCCTCATTCATTACGTTGATCCCAAAAGTGGAGAATCTTATAGGGCTAAAGGAGTGCAGGCCGATTAGTGTAGTTAATTCTCTATATAAAAAAATATGAAAATTCTAGCTACAAGGCTGAAAAGGCTGACTGGTAAATTGGTTAGTGATATGCAGTTGGCTTTAATTGCTGGGAGGCAGATCATGGATGGAATCCTTTTGGCGAACGAGGTTATTCATTCATTGGTAAAAGACCTACAGCAAGCAGGTGGAATGATTGTTTAGTTAGTTTTTAAAAAAGCAAATGACTGTGTTAGTTTTGACTTTTTGTTTTATGTGTTAGAATCAGTAGGCTTCGGGAAAAGTGGATCAGGTGGATAAAATAATGTGTCAACGTAAGGGTATTGGTGCTGGTAAATGGTTCACCAATGGGAGAATTCGAGATGCAGAGGTGCTTGAGGCAGGGAGATCTACTCTTTCCCTTTCTGTTTATTATTGTCACAGAGGTGCTACATCTGTTAATGATCAAAGGGGGCTCTTAATCTTATAAAAAGGGTATCATGTTTGGTCCTTCATTAACTATCTCGCACCTCCAATTCGCTGACGATACCATTATGTTTTTGGAAGCCAGAGAGGAGGTCATTTACAATATGAAAATGATTCTGAAATGCTTTGAGTTGTGTTTGGGTCTAAGGATAAACTTTAGCAAATCAGTGTTGTATGCGACAAAAGCGAAAAAAATAAGGGTGGAGTCTCTTGCATCTATGCTGGACTGTAAGTATAGCAATCTCCCGTTCCTATACTTGGGTATTTCGGTAATTGCAAACCCCAGAAGAATGGTGGTGGGACCCGGTTATCAAAAGAATTTAGGAGCGACTAGCACTTTTGAAAAGGAAATACCTATCATTTGGAGGAAGGGTGACATTGATCAATGCGGTGCTTTCATGCCTTCCTTTATACTATATGTCACTGTTTAAGGCGCCAGCTGGAGTAATCAAGAAGAATGACCAATTGAGGAGGAACTTCTCATGGGGAAGAGGAGTGAATCAAACAAAAATAGTAAAAGTAAGCTGGTCGTCAGTGTGTGAACCGAAGAAGTTCGGCGGTCTAAGTATAAGAAACCTGGTAGTTAAGAATGAGGCCCTCTTAGCTAAGTGGTGGTGGAGATTTGCATATGAACCAACATCACTTTGGAGGAGAGTGGCTAACTATGGGACGGGTAGTAGGGACTAGTTTTTGGGGACAAACCATATAAATAGAATGTCTCGTCAACGGAAAGATGTGATCAAACTGAATGAGGATAATAAGTTAAAGAGGTTTGTAGGCAGGGAAAGCTGTAGATGGTTCGTAGGAAATGGGGCTGACATCCTATTCTAGTTGGATAGATGGTGTGACGAAAGAACTTTAAGACAGGTATTTCCCAGACTTTATATTTTTGCAATTGACAAGAGAGTGAATGTGTGTGATTATGCATTAGGTGGTAAGTTATGTCATCATCTATAGGAGAACATTTTTAGAAGACAGGGTGGTTAAGGAACATGCAGTCATTAATCAAAAGGTATGTACTGATGCCTTCTAAGAAGGATAGGATAGCATGGGAACATGATAAGCTAGGCAAGTTTTTGGTTAAAAAAGTGTAAGAACTTCTTATACAGACTGAGAATTTAGTTTTTGTCCCGGAGTTTTGTCAGATTTGGAAATGCAAAATCCCTCCCAAGGTAAAATGCTTTCTTTGGTTGTTAATATTGAATGGAATCCTAACAAAAGTTTTCCTGAGTAAAGGTATACAACTGGAGACTGCTCAATGCTACTGTCCATGGTGCAATAGGGAGGAGGAAGATGCAAATCACATGATGTTGGCATGTTCGATAAATCCCAATTCTGGTACTGATTTTCTGAGTGGTGGAGTATCAGGTAGTGCCTTCCTGTAAATCTCTATTCATTTTTATTGCAACGCTTTAAGTTACCTATTGCGTGTGCCGCCGCGTTTTGGTCCATTTGGCATAAGAGGAATGAAATTGTCTTTGAAAAGAAAGAGTTAAAGTTGGAAGATCTGCTATTCTTGACAAAAACACGTGCTTTGGCTTGGATAAAGGCAGTGAATAAAGAAGATATCATCTTGGATGTGACTTGGTGTACTGATCTGCTGACATGTGTACCGAGGAATAGCGATAGAAAGGTAAGGCCCCAGGGGTCAGGGTGTCCTCCTGAAGAAGGGTGGTTCAAAGCCAATGTGGATGGATCGGCTAAAGGTGCTCCGGGTCCAGCAGGTTGCAAAGGTGTTATTAGGAATTCTAAAGGAGAATTGGTGGCTATGTTCTTGTGTCCCCTGGGATCAGAATGCTTGAATGTAGCTTAGCTGTATGCGATAAAAGTTGTATTGGAATTGTTTGACAAAGTGGACAAGGAAGAAGGTGCTGGGTTGATACTTGAGTCTGACTCTATGGTAGCAACCAGCTGGGTTATGAAAGAGGAAGAAAGACCATGGGAACTCCCATCACATTTTTCTGGAAATTGATTTGCTGAAGTCCAGATTTGAGAAGGTGAAACTAACGAAGGAATATAGAAAAGCCAATGGCATGGCGGATGCTCTAGCTAAGGCCGGGGTTGGGAGAGAACTGAACTTTATGGCATGGTGGTGATCGTTTAAAGTTATAGCTGGCTTTCTGGGTACGAGAGTAGTGCTTTTCATTCCCTGAGATAAGGGTAAAGGTACTTGTAGGTCAATAATATATGTTGAAGGGTTTATAGCTGGATGTAAGTCTGTAGTATTACAGGTGTAATAATATCGGGTGTTGGATTGTAATATCAGGGGTGACTAGCTAAATTGTAAATTTAGTTCCTACTATTAATAAATCTTTGGTTTAGCAAAATATATATATATATATATGGGGAACTTTGAAAGCGTGATCCACATATTCAAATATGAACTACGACTTGATGAGTTGTAACAGTCGTAACCTATCGAATTATGGAAGCGCAAATAACCATCCAGAGAGATGTTGAGAACTTCAATATTGCTGGTGATTAAAAATGTTTTTGGGGTGTTGAAAGTGGTGTCATAATGGATGAAAAAGCTCCTACTGATGTTACAACCAAGACTACCTGTACCAAAAGTGTATGTGATGCTGATATTTCCGCAGTTGCTTTGACAGCACGGTTTTGCTTGAGCTGCTAGTGAAGTTGCTATAATTGTTGACTTCACTGCAAACAGAGCAAGCTCCTTAAAGAAACTATGCAAACCCATGACTTTTTCTTAGCTTTTCCTTAACTATATCTAGGATAAAATGGAGAACATTCAAATATTGGTTATTAATTTATAGGAAAGCTTGTTTTAAGATTTAAAGCCATTTAATTGCAAAGCAGTAGCACCAATCACGTTTAATAGTTAGCGTAACCCAGACGAACGTGCAGAATTAATGAAGTCATATGGTCAACATACGTTTATGACCATACGTTTATAGTACTGATTTGGTTGCAGTGTAGACTTTCCCCTTTCTCTTTTATAAATTTTGATTATTATTCATAAAAAGAAAAAAAAAACTATTACCCAAATTCAATTTAATCTAGCTTTCTTCCTTAGAAAATATTTTTCTCCATATTAAATTTAATTTAAATGGATAAGAGAGAGTGCACATTTATGTGGGTAGAATTACTGCAAAACTAATTTAATTGTTGGTATGGGTTCATTTTACATTGGTATATAAGAAAAAAAGGTGTTTACTCACCCTGTAAATTATCAACTTCTAGTTTGAAAAGATGAAATCTCTTTTCAAATGAAGATGATAGACCTGGGAAGTTTTAGATCATAATATATATCTCAATATTTGTAAGTTTGATGTAATATTATATTTGAATTTATCACTTTTGTATTTTTTAATTTATTGATTTACTTGGTATTTTAATAAATTATTTTGTAACCAATGTGATGGTTATATTATATACTATAAATATCATAATCAAATTATTTCTCTAAAAAAAAAACTCAAGAAAACAAATCACTTTCTTTTATTTTCGATTCGATTCTTCCCTGCAATCGCTAACAATGACTTGTTTTACACTGCAAATGGTGTAAAATTTTTTTTTTTTGGCCAGACAAATAGTGCAACCGAAGACAGCTACCAACCTACCAGGCTTGGAGATGAGTAGTTGACACCAACTCCAAGTCTTGGTCGTTTTAGTCTTTGTCAAAATCATGATGAGTTTGGTCTGTTTTGTGTTTTTGCCCACTGCTGCTGCTACCAAAGAAAATGAGGGTTTAAAGCCTCATTGCGAGAACTTATGTTCGACTTATGGATCGTCTATTCAGTAAAATTGTTGACATCAAAAATCGAATATAATTTTTACAAATGAAGTATTCGATTTTTTCTTGTAATACCCAATCTCTGTTATATATTTTATTGATGAAATTAATTTTTTTGGAGGTTGATCTAGTATCTATAACATGTGGGATGTAATTCAGTCAACCCCAAAAGATTTTAGGCAATGAAAATCTGTCGGTGCTTTTAATCTTCAGGATAACAAATTTTGAGCACTGAAAAAATTGTTGGCTAGCTGCTTTGAAATTGTGTAATTTCAATCTTCAATATACTCATTCCTTTATTCATTAACATTTTTCATATATCAATAAATAACTAGTAGCTAGTTAATCTTGGGATTTCGGGTTAAGAGATAGTTTCTAGCAATTATGATATTTTGGAGCTTTAAATTTACTATTTATTGATGAATGAATACTCGAGACTACTAGTGTGTTAATAATTGAAGTGAAGGATTTCGGAACCTCTTATGAATTGCTTACAATTTTGTAAAATTTTACAAATTAATTGTAGACTTATTTTGGAATTTCTTTAAGCATTTATTACAAGTGAATAATTAGAATTTATTATGAAATTAATTTTAGACTTATTTTGAAATTTCTTTTGCATTTATTTTGCAAAATTATGTAGCGATTGTTGCATCCTAAACTTGGGTCAACAATGTGATATTAGTAATTCAACCAATCTTGTTGGCATTCAAAATTCAATTTTCCTCTTTAGAAAATTTTCTTACCCAAATTAAATTATCGACAATGAATCCATAGTACATAAGAGCAAGTGCACATTTTCTATGGTTCGATAGAATTATAGCAAAATTAATCTAATGGTTGGTCTAGGTTCACTTTATATTTAGTATAAGTGTTAGTCTTGAATTGATTTTTATTTTAAAATGATAAAATATTAAGTTAAACAAATATGATTATGATTTTGCAAAAGATTTATTTAGTATATTGTTATTAAGTTTTATTATTTTTGTACTAAATACATAATACATTTTTATAAATGATATTTGATTTACTAAAACTTGAAAAACTTGCAAAAATGTTTTAAACTTAAAAAGAAAACTTTTGCTAGCTATTTTTCATGTGAAAAATGATTTAAGATCAAAAACCAACTTCTTTTCACATTTAAAGAAGGTTTTATACAAGTTTGAAAAAATGGATCGATCCCCTAAGTAAATGGATCAATCAATTTTTTATCCAAAAAGTCAAGAAACTGTAAACTGGCCAAAAGGAATCAATCTCCTGCAAGAAGGAACTGATCAGGTGGCTTATAGGATCGATCAGGTTTTGTGCAGAATGCTTCAAACGGTTAGTTTTCAAATGTTCAATAGGTTTTTTTTCTTCAATCAATCCCCAATGGCTACAAAATATTTTCTCTATAAATTGAGCATTCCAACACACTTGTGGAGCAACAAAGCAAGCACCAACATGCCTTACCTTTATTCTCTCAAGAATTCAAGAGCATTCTATCAAAATCCTTAAAAAAATTCAAGAGTTTTTAGAGTTTCAATTCTTTATCCTTATAATTGTTGTATCCAAGCCACATTTGTCTATTCATCTTTATACTTAACCTTAGCAAACAGTTATCTATTAGAGGCCTTTTAGTTGTTTGCAAATTCTTTTGACATCCAAAAGGATTAAAGAGCAAAAGGTGTAGTATCCTCTTGAGAGCTTTGTAATGAGATTGGGTAGAATCCTACAAATGGTCAAGGTTGCTATCTTGAACCTAGAAAAGATAGAGATTGTAACTTGTAAAATAACATTTTACTAGTGGATTTGAAGCTTGGCAAGGAAAGCTAAGGAAAAGAAATAGATGCCTTTGGAGAAGGACCAGACCTCTATAACTTCTTATGTTTGATTTCCCTATCCCTACTCTTTTTAGTTTTATTGTTGTTCATATTAGTTCCAAGTTCAT